CCAGATTTGGCCTTTCTGTCAGGAGACAGCCTGCAAGCTACTCTAATAAAGTCTAAAACCTAGTATGGCAAATTATATTTACGTGTGTGTGTGTGTGTGTGTGTGTGAGAAGCATATTACTAAACTCATCATTTGCCTGATGCTGAGGATCAGGCTGAAGTGGTCCTAGCAGATACAGGGCCTGGTCTTCCTGAGGTATACACAGTGCTAACAGCAAACAACTAAACATAAGTGTAGTGTCAGGTAGTAATGAGTGCTATGCAATGCAGATGAGGATGAACTTGAACTCCTCATGCTCCTGCCTCCACCGCCCAGGTGCTGGGATAGCAGATATGTCCCACCATGTCTGGTTTAAGTGCTAAGAATTGAACGTGGGACTTTATTCATGCTAGGCTACCACCCAACCAAGTGAACCACGACCCAGCCCCTTTTAGTCTTTTGGAAGCCCCTCTTCCTCTTTCAGTCCCTTGAATACTGGCATTCTTTTTATCTGTTTATCTGTCTGTTTTCTACCCTCTCTAGTAGCTTTCACAATCTGCCACCTTGATGAGAAGGAATTCTAACAATGTGAGTCCAAGCTAGCCAAATTCTTCCCGGGCTTTCAGAACTAGCTTGCCCCTTGTAAGTGGGTATATCTCCTTGTACCCCACAAATGGAAGGCAACCTTTTCCTGTAAACATTCCCCCACCCCCACATTTTTTTGGCTTTTTGAGACAGTCTGTAGCACTGACTTGACTATTCTGGAACTCTTTCTGTAGACCAGGCTGGCCTCAAACTCTGAGATCCTACCTCTGCCTTCCACATTCTGGGATTAAAGGCATGCACCACACTCACCCGAGATCTTTTCTTTTTCTTTTCTTTTCTTCTTCTTCCTTTTTTTAAACAGGGTCTTTCTCCATAGCCCTGGAGTTCAAATATTGGTCACGCTGAGTGGTCTTTGAGTCTCTAACCTGAGTTCCCCCTCTCCTTCCATCACTGTCACTACCTTGTCCATACCCTCCCCATTTCTGCTACTGCCTCCTAACAGGATTCCAGTGTGTGTCTCTAAGATCAGCAACAGCCAGCTCAAGGAAGCCACCTGACTTCATTACATAAGCTTTACTAAACTCATCATTTGCCTGATGCTGAGGATGCTGAAGTGGTCCTAGCAGATACAGGGCCTGGTCTTCCTGAGGTATCCACAGTGCTAACAGCAAACAACTAAACATAAGTGTAGTGTCAGGTAGTAATGAGTGCTATGCAATGCAGATGAGGATGAACTTGAACTCCTCATGCTCCTGCCTCCACCGCCCAGGTGCTGGGATAGCAGATATGTCCCACCATGTCTGGTTTAAGTGCTAAGAATTGAACGTGGGACTTTATTCATGCTAGGCTACCACCCAACCAATTGAACCACGACCCAGCCCCTTTTAGTCTTTTGGAGGCCCCTCTTCCTCTTTCAGTCCCTTGAATACTGGCATTCTTTTTATCTGTTTATCTGTCTGTTTTCTACCCTCTCTAGTAGCTTTCACAATCTGCCACCTTGATGAGAAGGAATTCTAACAATGTGAGTCCAAGCTAGCCAAATTCTTCCCGGGCTTTCAGAACTAGCTTGCCCCTTGTAAGTGGTATATCTCCTTGTACCCCACAAATGGAAGGCAACCTTTTCCTATAAACATTCCCCCTACCCCCACATTTTTTTGGCTTTTTGAGACAGTCTGTAGCACTGACTTGACTATTCTGGAACTCTTTCTGTAGACCAGGCTGGCCTCAAACTCTGAGATCCTGCCTCTGCCTTCCACGTTCTGGGATTAAAGGCATGCACCACACTCACCCGGGATCTTTTCTTTTTCTTTTCTTTTCTTCTTCTTCCTTTTTTAAACAGGGTCTTTCTCCATAGCCCTGGAGTTCAAATATTGGTCACGCTGAGTGGTCTTTGAGTCTCTACCCTGAGTTCCCCCTCTCCTTCCATCACTACCTTGTCCATACCCTCCCAATTTCTGCTACTGCCTCCTAACAGGATTCCAGTGTGTGTCTCTAAGCTCAGCAACAGCCAGCTCAAGGAAGCCACCTGACTTCATTACATAAGCTTTAGGCTCAACCCGGGCTGGACACAAGCTATGGTGTAAGGTTTGCAAAGCACTCAGTCCCCTTCCAGGCTTGGCCTGCTGGCCCAGGCTGTGCCCTATCTCTCCCACATTTGCTTATGCTCTGCAGGATTTCTTAGATCTCCCCTAACCCACCGACAGCTGTTCCCTGGTAAGGTCAGAGGAAGACAGCTATCAATAATAGGGGGAAAATCTAAACATGGGGAGACTGAGAGTGGGAGAGTAAGATTTAGGGACCTGTTGAGGGTTGGAGACAAGGAGAATCCAGCGAGGAGGGCCTGGACCAGGTCAGGACTAGAGGAAGGCATATGAGAATGTCAGAAATGGGATGAGTGCCAGTGATGATTGAAACTAAAAGACCTCACAGGTAGGGTGTTAGCATTCAGGCATCGGTACTGGCCTGCCCTTGGTGTTCTGATAGGACGCGTCCTCAGTTGCAGCCACTAAGAGCACAACCTGTGAATATTCACTGTTCTCTCCCATGTCCCCATCCCCCTTTCCTTTTCCTCTCTGCTTCTCTGCCTATCTCTCCGTCTCTTCCGCCTCTTTCTCTCTCTCTCTCTCTGTATCCTCTTCTGCTGTTCCTGTCCCCAGAGGCTGGTCTCGTCCCTCCCTTTCCCCCCTTTTACAACCCCTTCCCCCCAATTAAAAAAAAAAACCCTCCACATGAACTCTGTCACACAGTGTCTTTCTCTCTTGCTGTGCTTTATTTAAAAAATTACAACATAGGGTCATCATCCTCTTTGGAAAATTATCTCAGACACAACTTCCTGAGTCAGGAAAGAGGCTTCTTGGGGGTAGGGGAGGAGGAGGTGGCTCGAGCCCATGGAGATAGATCTGAGTCAGGGGAGAGGATACTTTAGTTCTGTTTCCCTACAGTTCATGAACTCTATTGCCTATAGCAATAATTGCAGTGGATATGTGGAGTACTCTCTCATGTTAAGAACTATGCTGAAGGACCTTGCCTTATGCCAAGCTGTCACCCAGCCCTGTATCCACCCCCAGGCTTACTCCAGCCTTGGTTCCTGATCCCAGTCTCAGACTTCACTGCAGTCCCTCCTGGAAGCTCAACCTCAGGCCATCCTGGACCCTCTCCATCCCCACACAAGCCAGTACCTTCTCCATTTTTCTTTATGCTAGTAGAAATTTCCATTTCTACTGTGCATATCTAATGACTACAGAAGTCAGAAGAGGGCATTGGATTCCCTGGGACCTAAGTTATAGATTATAGGTTGTGAGCTACTATGTGGGTGCTGAGAATTGAACCTGGGTCCTCTGAAAGAGCAGCAAGTGCTCTTAACCACTGAGCCTTCTCTCTAGCCCCAATCACAATTTCTTGAAGTCATTTGAAGGTGAGGAAGTCCGGGCAGGTCAGGAGACAATGGTTATGCATAGACATAAAGCTGAATGCACACATTTTCACGTACGAGGGACAAAGGGACTCTCCTGAATGTGAGATGTGTTGATGATCATGAGACTGTGCCTGCAAAGATGGCTCTAGCAGGGAGTAAAGCCACTAGCCCACAGTCAGTGAGGAGAGCTAACCCCATTCCACCACCAGCCACTCCACACACACCTTATACTCTGTGGCATACTCAAGGTACTTTCACGTGGACAAACATGGAACAGAAATTTTGTTGGAAGTAACTGCCCGTCCAGCTAATTGACATCTATATTTTGGTTTTTAAAGTTGTTGTCCCCTGTCAAACCGGAAGTGCCAAGAGGGCAAAAGTTAGCTGCCAGTGTTGCTCCATCCTTGGCTCAGCTGGTCCCCAACACACACACACCCCTCTGTGACTCTGATCACAAGGTAAAGGGGATTCTCAGACTTGGTTTCCCAAACACCCTTTGTCCACCCATGACACCTAAAAGGAAGACTCCTTCAGCTCCATCACAAGGCTGCCTGGTGGCTTGGTGCTTCAGCAGCACCTGACTGATGTCCTCAGCAGGCACTGCAACATTCCCCAACATGGGAAAACAGTTTCATGAACTCTGATCACAGGACAAGTAGTTACTAGACAGCCTGCTGGAATGTGCTGAGCAGTCGGTGAAGTTCCAAGGAGAGAGTCCAACCCATGAGGGCTAATGTCAGATGCAAGCTCCAGTTCTTTGTTCTAGCAGAGTTAGCCTAAAGATGTGATCGCAGTCATTACCCAGATCACAAGTCAAAGATGTATGTGTTCAATAGAAGTGGTGACATTCTTTCTCATGGAAGTATAAAGGCAGTCCTTGGAGGGCTATCAGTACCTCTGCAGAAAGTATGTGTGGGCCCTACAGACAGTCCACTAACTTCTCCTGATCCTGTCACCTCCCTCCCCATACCAGATAGTATCTGTTCATAGCCATACTGCACACACGCACACGCACACGCACAGAGCACAGCACATTAGCATTAGTTATTCTCCCCTTGAGGGAGCGATAGTACTCTCTGGTAATTTTCAGAGGTTTAACAGACAGACAGTGAGAGGCGCTCAAAAAGTAGCACGATGATGTGTCAAAAACTCCTTTCGAATCAGGCCACAGTTAACAAGCATCTTGAGGAATTCATGGCGAAAATTTTGGCCAATGAAGGCATAGATGATGGGGTTGAGGCAACTGTGAGAAAAGCCCAGGATCTCAGTGATATACAGGGCCTGGTCAATGTCATTGCGGCGCTTGCAGGTGTCCTCAATTAAGTGGGTTCCTAAGAGAGTGTCTGAGAACAGGACCAGGTTGTAGGGCAGCCAGCAGAGCAGGAAGACAAGCACAACGGCAAAGATGACCCGCATGGCCCGGTGCTTCTGCCCCATGCGGGCCTTAAAGAGTGTGCGCAGTGTGGACCCATAGCAGAACAGCATGATCAGCAGCGGCAGAAGGAAGCCAAACATGTGGGACAGGCCACGCAAAATTATCCGAAAATATGTTGTGGCTTCACCCAGGACCTCGTAGCAGATTGTTCCAGAACCGTATGGCTTATATGCCTGGCGGAAGATGGCAAAGGGCAGGGACAGAATCAAAGATAGACCCCAGATGCCTAGACATATGAATTTAACCAAGTGGCGCTTTTGGGTCAGTGTGCCTGTGGCATGGACGATGGCCAGGTATCGGTCCACACTGATGCAGGCCAGTAGCAGGGTACCACTGAAGAAGTTGACTTCTTTCAGGAGTGAGATCATCTTGCACAGGGGAGTTCCAAAAATCCAGCCTTTCAATTTGGAGACAGCCCAGAAGGGCAGGGTCAATGAAAAGAGAAGGTCGGCAAGGGCTAGGTTCAGCATGTAGACATCGGTGACAGAGCAACTCCTTCGTCTGTATAAGATGACTAGCATCACCAGCGAGTTTCCCAGCAAGCTCAGCAAGGACACCAGTGCATAAAAGACAACTAAAGCCTTTGTGTTGCTTATTGGAACTCTCTTACAAGGGCTGAAATAATCTCCAGTAGGTGGCATTCTGGTGCTAGTCCCAAAGTCTTTCTCAAAGTCATCCCATGTCATATTATCAGGAGCAACCCAGTAGAAATATTCAGTCTTGGCCATGCTTCAATCTAGGTGACAGGTTAGGAGAGAAATAGGATTTAGTAACCAAATTCAAGTGTCATGAATGTTGTGGGATAGTATTATTGGCTTCTCTGTTGCTTTGACAACCAGAGTTCACCCCATTGGACTTCAACTTGAACTTCTGTAAAAGTTAGATTCCTAGTGCTGTCAAAGTTCTTGGAGACTCAGTATGGGATAAAATAAAACACAGGGAAGATGCTTTTGCCTTCAGTTGGCTCTACAGTTCTCACCTCTATCTCCGGATACTTTGTCTCCTTTTAGTCATCTTTGTCCTCAGCCATGCCCCTGCATTCAGATGCAGCCAGAAGGCTGCTCTTATATACTCAGGAAAGAGCCAGCACACAACAAAACAGAAGAAGGTAAGGTGTATCTGGGTGCCCCTTCCTACATTATTTCATATATGTATCCCCTCAATATTGTTTTCCCTTTTAAAAGCAGACTTATTATTTCTCATTGCATTTACTTACGTGTGTGTGCAGGATGCTTGTCTATATGTAAAGGCCAGAAGAAGGCATCAGACCCCTTGGAACTGGAGCTACAGAGAGTTGTTAGCTGCCCAGAGTGTGTTCTGGGAACTAAACCCTCAAGACCAATTCATGCTCTTAACTACTGAGCCATCTCTCCAGCCCCTTGTTTGCCTTTCTTGAAATCTGCCTGGAGAAAAAAGTAAGAGAGACAGATTACATTGAACTATCCAGTGTGCCTTGACTTATGATGAGGTTCCGTTCAATTTTCATAGCTGCAAAAATCACATCAAAAATACAAGAAGGGGGGTCAATGAGGTGATTTGTGGACAAAGGTACCTGCTGCCAAGCCTAACAACTTGAACTTGAGCCCACAAATTTGAAACCTCAAGGTAGAAGGAAAGGGCCATCTCCTTCAGGTTGTCCTCTGGCCTCCATACCCAAGCGCATGCGCACACACACTAAATGTGGAAAAGAAAAAAATTAAATACACTTAACAGTTGGTGAGATAGCTCAACAGGCAAAAGAACTTGTCATACAAGCTTGACAACTTGAGATTGCTGCAAGAACCTCTGATGGATGGAGGGAACCATCCCCTGATAGATAGATAGATAGATAGATAGATAGATAGATAGATAGATAGAGATATATTCCTGAACACACACACACACAGACACACACACACACAAATTAGCCTCTACCCAATTGAAGGTTCTCCAATCTGGAAGCATTTAGAAGTTAACCAGGTTAGAAATGAGCTGACTACCCAACTGAAGATTCTCCAATCTGGAAGCATTTAGAAGTTAACCAGGTTAGAAATGAGCTGACTGTTACTGAATGCTCACTCTCTCCATGGTGAGCTTGACTGGGGCCTTTAACTCCCTACAGAGTTTCATTCATCATCTGCAAATTGAGGGATGACAAAGAAGCTCTTACTGGCTCCCAGGCCTTGGATTCTATGGCCAGTGAATTCACATCCCCACACCTTGGGATGCTCTCTCCCTGCCACTGTTTGCATCTTCACAGAAGACGAAAGCTTATCGGGGAGCAACCACACTGAAATGAGGAATTGTCCATCTCAGCCACATAACAGGAGAGGAATAAAAACAAAGAATGAGGGGACTGTGCCACAACCACTTAGGAAGTCAGAGTTCAGAACTTACTCCCAGTGAGTAGACAGTGGTGGTGCATGACTTTAATCCCAACACTCAGGGGCAGAGGCAGGTGGATCTTTGAGTTTGAGTCCAGCCTGGTCTACCAAGTGAGTTCCAGGACAGCCAAGGCCACATAGAGAAGCCATGTCTCAAAAAAGGAAGGAAGGAAGAGAGAGAGAGAGAGAGAGAGAGAGAGAGAGAGAGAGAGAGGGAGGGAGGGAGGAAGGAAGGAAGGAAGGAAGGAAGGAAGGAAGGAAGGAAATAGTTTATCAGAAATTCCTAAATTCCACAGAAACCAGTCAGTGTATTTTCTAAAATAAAATTGAAGCAAGCCTTCCTACCCCAACAAGTGTGCTGATACACAAGGATGGCTTCCTACCTGAGGCACCAGGTGCATATGTTCTGTGTATAGGAGCCTGCAGTTCAGGGACCAAAATGACCCAACAGTTGAAGGAACTAGATGGGTAAAGAAAAGAGAAACCACACTAGACCATACCTCCCCTGAGAGCCCCACCCACGTCTGCATTTGGGTGCAGATTAGGTCATGGGACCCAACAGCATCAGAGGTTCTGTGGGATCAGCAGGGATAGCAGGATGAAGCTGCAGTTAAGGGTATGCTCTCTAAGTCCCTCCCTCCATAGATGATCGTTTTCAGGTTCTTGAATTTCCCCTCATGTGCTATCCCCAAGTTCCCTAATAGAACTGGGAACCTTCCAACTTTCCCTGAGAAGAATAAAAGGGAGGGCCTTTGACTTTCTACAACAGAATTTTCAAAAGTCCGTGGTATGAAAGACTTGGGGGAGTCTATAAGGAGAACTTAGGGGACAGCTAGAGAGAGATGGAGAAGTCTATTCTCAAGCTGTGTTTGGACAGCTTATGTTGGAGTTGAAATAGAACCCAGGACCCGGTACATGCTGCGACAAGCAATCTACCACCAAGCTCCATCTGCAGCCCCAATGCTTGCATTCTGGTTTGGTTTTGTTTTGAGACAGTCTTTCATAGCTCATGCTGGACTTGAACTCTATGTGGCTGATGAGCATGACCCTTCATCTATTTTCCAAATGTTTCAATTAAAGGTGTGCACCACTGGGCTCAGCTATAACTACACCATTTCACTTATGGCATCTTTAGGGTCTTTGTGGTAGAGACTTTGGAAGAAAAAACTAACCACCCTTCTACACAACCATTTCCAATTACTGTTTGGTTAGAGTAGCAATGAGGTTTGGGGCATGGCCACGCCCTTCCCTGGAGTCTAGCTGGAGGAGAGACCGACAGGGCTAGGAAAATCAGTGAAGGACCAGATGAGGGTGACGTAATTGGAGGGTGATGTAATTGGTTATGTAATGGGGAGCAGCAGCTCCCCATTTGGTACTGAAGGACAGCTTCTCTGGAAAACTGCCTGAGAGGCCCCTGCGCTGTTCACAGCTGACCCCTGACATTATTCCTTTAGCTCAGTGTCCTGGTTAGCTTTGACTATCAACTTAACACAGCCTAGAGTCATCTGAGAAGCGAATCCCAGTTGAGGGATTTCCCAGATGTGGGTGTGTCTATGGGAAACTGTCTTGATCACCTATCGATGTGGGAGGCACTGTGGGAGGCACCATCTCTAAGCAGGTCAGGCACAACACCCATATACACAAGGTTGCCTTTCTGTGTGCCAATATGAACTTTTCCCGAAAGCAGTTTACAAAGAATTGCACTTAAAATGTAATATTTTCCTACTTGTTTCCTCTTCTGAATTTATGCTTATAATTCACATAGCAAATAAGTTACGCTCTATTATCTCCTGTATATTTCATGCGGTAATTCTTCCTTTCCAAATAAAAATGAAACCTTTGGGTTCCACAAATTAAAAAGAAAAAACAAATTTAAACAAAAGCTAGCTAAGCATGACTCTGTGGGTGAGCCAACAAGCAGCACTCTTCTGTAGTTTCTGCACCAAAGCCCTGCTTGAGATCCTGCCCTGAATCCTGCTGTGTTGGACTGTGACTTGCAAGGTGAGATACATTCTTTCCTCCCCTAAGTTGCTTTCAGTCACAATCTTTTATCACAGCAGTAGACATGAAACCAGAGCACTTTCAAACCTCCTTCTAGTCTTACACAAGCTTACACACGCTGCAAAGATGTGCTTACACCAGAGGCCCCTTCTTTGCACTGTGAGAAGCTAGAGAACAAAGATTCCCTTTCCTTTTGATCTGTCCTCTGCCAGGGGACATAGTAAGTGACTGCCAAGGGTTTTAAAGAATAGTGTTTCTCCTATGACTCATGGAGCATACAGCACCATGATAAGAAGGCCGGAGACACTCAGAAGCTCCTGGGACAGATAACACTGGAGAGCCAAGAGGAAACTGTGGGACCGAAACCTCAAGAAATTATCCCTCCCTAGTTGGGTCTTATGCAGGTTCCCCAGCTGTCAGTCTGGAGTCTGTGAGCTCCCACATGCTCAGGTCAGCTGTTTCTGTGGGTTTCCCCAGCATGGTCTTGACCCCTTTGCTCATCACTCCTCCGTCTCTACAACTGGACTCCAGGAGTTCAGCTCAGAGCTTAGCTGTGAATCTCCGCTTCTGCTTCCATCAACTACTGGATGAAGGCTCTATGATGGCATTTAAAGTAGTCATCAATGTTCTCCCCTATAATGACATTGATGACTATTGCTTAGACTCTTAGTTGAGGTTATCCTTGCAGATTCCTGGACATTTCCCTAGTGCCAGATTTCTCATTAAGCCCATAATGGCTCCCTCTATCAAGGTATCTCTTTCCTTGCTCTCCTTCCTGATCCCTCATGTTCTCCTCCCCCTCCCTTTGTCCCCTCCTCTCTCTCCTACCTCCTTTCCCCCTCCCCCCACACTCCCAATTTACTCAGGAGATCTTGGCCCCCTGAACTGAGTGTCAGTTGGGGGACTTGGGCAGTCAATGGGACCCAGTGGCAGTGGATCCAGTATTTATCCCTAGTGCATAAATGGACTTTGGGAGCCCATTCGCTATGGAGGGATACTCTCAGCCTAGAGAGTACACAGGGGCGGGCCTCAGTCCTGTCCCAAAAGATGTGACAGACTTTGATGATTCCCCAACGGAGGCCTCATCCTCTCTGAAGATTGGATGGGGGAGATGGGGGGATGGGAGGGCAGAAGGGAAAGGGAACTGGGATTGGTATGTAAAATAAGATTGTTTTTAATTAAAAAAAAAAAAAAGTATCCCAGCCGGGTGTTGGTGGCACACACTTTAATCCCAGCACTCCGGAGGCAGAGGCAGGCAGATCTCTGTGAGTTCGAGGCCAGCCTGGTCTCCAGAGCAAGTGTCAGGATAGGCTCCAAAGCTACACAGAGAAACCCTGTCCAAAAAAAGAGCACTTGCTGCTCTT